CTGCACTATCACACCAACATTAAAAAGTCGATGATGGGCACACATGCTAAATTGGCATCATGTTCTTGAGAAAAGACAGCACATCAGATTTAAATAACCTATTCAGAAATCAAACCTCCAGGCTATTCATGTCAGACATGAACAGTTAGACTCACTCTTTGCAACACAGACTGAAAGTCTAAAAGGGAGATGAAATGCTTTGTGAGAGGAGCCAGTGCTGTCTCTTGCTGTGTTTTCAAAACTTCAGGTCAGATCCTGCAGCTTGGCTTTAAAGCCAGTATCACCATGTGGCACCACGTGTATCACCATCCCATGTGGCAAGACAGCATTACACACATAACCACGGCTTTTTAAAGAGAAGCCTCTTTACCCAGGTACAGAGACAGCCATCTGGTACAAATCACCCCCAGGGCTGGAATGTGATGCCACCAGCTGTCAGGGGAGCTCTTCAGAATGACTGATCAGACAAGAACATACATTTAAGGAGTTCTTCCCCGTCAGATTTGCACCTTGGATAGCAAACATTATACAAAAGCAAGCATATCACAATAAAGCTCTGAGAAAAATTAGGACCAAGGGCTGCATTAACCAGTAGTTTTTCACATTAAATTGTCTGTTATCAAAATCAAATCCAACACTCCTAACCCTGGAAGAGAACACCCTTCTACAGCAACAGATGCTGCTGCAGATGTAATAGGACTAATGATGTCCCAGCTCAAGAATACACATGGAAAACTACATGTGAAGTATTTGACAGAAAAAATGCATGCAATGAGATTTTTTTGCTTAATTCCTTTAAAAATTAGTTTACTTTGCAGTGGGAATGAAAGACAGCAAAGCTTTCCTCTTATTAAAATAAATAATAAAAAAAGAGATAATTCTTTTTTATGCCTATTCTGACCTGAATATACTTGTACAGTCTTCATGTCTGGACAGCAGGTATTCCTCAGATGAACATTGTCTGACAAAAAAGAACCCAAATTTCATTTCAACTGCTCTTACCCACAGAGCTTCACTTGAACACTTTTTCTCCCAAGTAACCTACAATTCCTTATTTTCTAACTTTGTATTTAGCAAGGCCATGTGCTTTTTTTTTCTTTTTTTTCAGTAAGATAATGCTTTAAATTACATTCACTGTAGTAAACATGTTAGATATTGTTCTCAGCAAAGAAAGCACTGAAGAGAATATAAGTTCTTTCCAACTGTAGCAATGGCCTATTAACACTGAAAATCATGAAAGAAAGGAACATAAAGGGTGACTCAGAAGAGACTGCTCAACCAAACCAATTTGTAACAAAACCCAGATGTCACAAAGTTCTCAGGTCAGGGCAGTAACACACTGTAAGGGAAGCCCGCTGACTTGGTGTCTGCATGTTATACTGGCAACACTTCTAATATCACAGGGGTGGATATTGCTAGTGCTGGGTATGACAAGGGGGTACACAGTGTTTACCACAAAGTAACAGAGATCTGAGCGGTTGGGAGTCTCAAGCGTAAAAGTCTCCTGCTAACTATGCAACGTGACAGCAGGAGAACTACTAATTTGGGAGAATTTACACCCAATAAACGGGGCAAACCATATCCCTCTCCTGAGCTGTGCATACCAGAGGTCAGGAAGGAGTCACCATGAGTGACAAGAATTGAAGGCTCAGTCTGTGACTGTGCCCACCGAAGGAATGGAGGTGAAGGGACCAGATTGCAAGAGGAAGGGGTAGAGCACTGTCAGTTATGTCAGGCTATGCTGTGTCTCATTAAAGTTCCACTAGATTGTTGCAAGAAAAGCACAATCCCAAACTGGAAACAGCATCTATAAGAAGGCCAATAATGCATTTGCACTCTGCCCTGCTGCAGTACCTGCTTCGAGTTTGTTTTCTGCAAGAACGTTTATAAAAAAAATTAAAAAAACCAAACGAACAAAAACTTCCATCGTTCTTAATATCTAATTCTTTATAACCACACTTCTTCCCCCCAAAAAATGGTATGCAAAATGTCAATGTTAGCCACTGTCTGTTTTCAGGCATTTCCTGATCCCAGGAACTGATACTTGAAACCTGGACAAAGTTCACTTTTCTGTGGCTTAGGATAGGATCTCCCATCTCTCAGCTCCCTTATCCCTTCACCCTGTGCGTGGGTGATGGGATATGTCCTGCTAGATTTTCTTGCTACAACAAAGCTGCCAAGACTGTAAACTGGGTGACTCGACATCTCTGGGAATGGGAATGTCCCTATCAGCCTCCTGTTTGCTAACAGATCCGAGACCAAAGTGCTGGGCTCACCCAGGAGCCTATACCAGTGTAAGGAAGGCACTTCCCAGGAGGCTGTACCTGACAGAACCACATAACCATAGCCAAATTTTACCTCTGGGCATCCAAATTCAGTAATTCCCACCAAACTCCTATTCAGTTTTTCCTTCCCAACTGCCCCTGCATGGTTCCCTCCTGCCTACTCTGATATAATAATGTGAGATCAGACTCCAAAGTGAAAAAATAGCACAAATTTCCAGGCTTCAACTCGGTTTGTAATGCAGGTGCTTCTGCCTGTAACTACAGACACACAGACAACTCTGTGCATTGTCAGTGTGTCACACTAAACACTGCACGCCCTTTGAGAGGCTAAGCTGCTTTCAGACAGTTCCATCCATAGGAATTCCTATAGTGCCATCTCCTGGCTTATGGTGTAGGAACACAGTAGTTGAAAATAGCACTTATCAAATGAAAGATAGATATATATACATGTATACATATATAAATTAAAAAACTTTCCAACAGATTTAGGCTATGGATTAATATACAAAAACAACCAAGCCATGGGCATTCTCTTAACAGATTTTGTACAATTCTCCTCCCAATAAATTATTAACTTAAAATGATGAGGCTTTGAAAAATATCTGCTGAGCTGATCTGCTTTGTGTTATGAGCCATTACAATCTTGTTTGTCAGCATTTGTTTTATTTCTCAACAAACATCAAGGTTGTAAGGGTTGAAGACCCTTACAGAAGATTCATGGTGACGAGATCAGAGCTTGTTTAGTGTAGGAAGACTTTCCTGCCTAAAAGAGGCATCTTTCCCCATGAGAGTTTTAGATGTTTTCTGCTCCTGCATTCCAGAGAAACGCTCCCTGGTACAAGAAGAAGTAAGTCTTGCAGACATGTCAAAGGTCCTCAGAGAGTGGGGTCATCATCATCATCATCATGGCTAGGTTTTGTTAATGAAGATTTGAGAAGGGCTCTACCCACGCTTGCTACAAGCGCACTGATGGCTAAAAAGGCCAATGTGAGATAGACACAGTATCAAGCATGGTTCTGATGTTCCAGCATGCGAGTGTTAATTTGAGTACACCTTTGGAGGCAGGTGTATGCCTTTTACTCTTAATCATTATTTGACCGCAACAGAAGATGCCTGTTGGCCGCAGTTAACCAACCGGGTGAAGGATGGAAGAGAGCGGGGTCCAAGGATAATAAAGGCCCTGAGAAGAACATGGGGTGTGTCTTTCCTCAGGCTCAGTGTTTGAAACGCTGTTAAGAGTAATGTTCTTTGAAGCCTAGTGTCCACTGCCTGGCATTTTGGGGGTACCTGCATGTTATCTTACTTCACAAAGGCTCAAAACTCCCTTTGCGCTTAAAATTTTTGTGTCGTTTCATGACTCCACAGGATGATGACTGAGGGTTCCATAACACCATGTGGGGAGTGAGGAAAGCATGTAAAATCCCATTGATGAGGACTGTACATCGTTTTAAGCCCCTATTATTCATAACGATGATGGGTAATGCCTATTTTCTAGATATCAGTTACAATTAATCTATCAATTTGTAGCTTACCGTATTGTTGGTAAAAGAAGCAGGCAGCAGCTCCTTTCTCAGTGAAAGATGTCCATTTACAGATCAAAAGCCTCCCAAATGGCTGACTCAGGAAAAGTATTCTCCGTCAGAGCTGTGCCCCACGCAGCAGGGTGACCACAGGAGCTGGAAGGACGAAGAACAACAAGCAGACTCTTACATCTTTATCCTTTCCCTCACCTCCAGTGATTTGCTTTTCCTTACAGTAATGCCCCCTTGATATTGAGCTCCTTAAGGATTGAATAAGGGTTTGAGTCAAAATATAACTTATTTTCAGTACAGTTATGAGCATTGAAGTAACTGGGGGAAAGGTAATTCTGTCAGTGGGAGATCATGACCACCAACTCATGGACCACCTACCCAAAATAGACCCCAGACTCCAATGGAGCGAAGAACTGTGCATGTGGACTAATGAGCGTGAGAAGCAAGAGATATAACTTGCAAATAGGGGGTCGAGCACTAATTAATAAAAAGGTTATGTAATAAAATGTATGCCTTTGTTTGTTAAATTGTATAAATAGTGTAAAATTTTGATGACTGGGGAGCTAGCCTTTTGGGGGTTGCCGACCTAGGTCCCTACTTTGCGCAAACCAGAATAAAAAAGAAATACCTCGCCTCAGTGTGTGAGGCGGCGTACACTTCCATCCTTCAGAACCCCTTGCACAACAACAATCATAAACCAGCTCCTTGAGGGTAGCAGCGCTCAAAAATTAAAGTGGGCCAAAGAGAAAATGCCTAAAATGCCCAATGAGGGGCAGCCATCAGAGGAAGGGGCCCGGCTTCCCCTCATGCCGGCTCGGGAGGGGGACAGCCCCGTCCCTGAGGGTGCTGAGGGAGGGGACGGCAGCACGGCCAGGCGGGGCGGCTGTCGCGCCTGTCACAACCCCGCTGTCACCCCTGCTCCCGCTCCCCTCCCTGACGTGACTTCAAAGCTATATGAGAAAAGTATTTATTATGTACGTTTCATCATAATCCTGCTCTAAACACGGAAGGGACTTACAACGCCAGCTAGGCGAGAGCAGGGATAAGTACAGGGGTGAGCGTTGCGAGAGGCTTTAGGCAGCACAACCCTCCCGTTCGCCGCGCAAGGCAAGCAGAGCAGCACCGCTGACACAACCGACAGCAACAACGAAAACAGGCGACAATAACAAATTAATCGCAACATAACAGGAGCGCCAGGGCTCGGACCGCCCCCGCCGCCGACACCAGCGGCGGTGCCGCCCTGCACTGTCCCGCCCTGTCCCGTAAGATGGCGGCGCGGCTGCTTCGTCTGCGGACCGCTCTGAGGGCCGCCGGCTGCCGGCTCTCCTCTGCCCAGGCCAGGTGAGCGGGGCCGGCCCTGGTGCCTGGGGAATCCCGCCGGGGAGCACCGCGAGAGCGGGTGGGAGGGCACCCCGAGTTTGGGCTCCTTAAAGAGCGGGGGCTGTGCCTTTGCCCATCTGCATGGGGGGGGACGTGTGTGCGGGTTGATGGGGCTGTATAGCTGTATGTGCACACATTCTGTATGGATATGTGTGTGTGGTGGGTGTGCGCATCCGTGTGTGTGTTCGGAGCGGTGTGGATGCGTGTGCTCTGGGCGTGTGGCGGGAGGGTTACGGGCACCGTATCTATAGATGCGGGCGTGTGTGTGTTTGCGGCTGTGCTCCCCTTGCGGGAGGCAGCTGGGGCTGGGCGAGCCCCCTGAGCCGGGCGGGTCCGGGATCCCGCCGAGCCCGGCGGTCCGGGAACCCCAGCGCATCGCCGTGATATCCCGACCTTTGCTCCACTTCCCGGCCCGGCCTGGGGACAGCGAGTCCCGTGCTGGCCGCGTCCTTGCCCGGGCACACCATTCCCCCGTGGCATCAGGCGCTCAGCGTCAGGGAAGGGTTTTTTTTGGGAGCAGAAGGGCAGCATTGTGTTCACACCTTCCGCGGCCTAGGAGTTGTCTTTCCTAGGGCTTTGGTTGGCATAAGGCCCTTCCCTGTGTGACATGCGGGGTGTGAGCCATAATTAAACGTAAGAGTGGACTTAAAGAAAGCTCAACATCGTCTCAAACAGCCTTAAAAATAAGGTGGAGCTTTTGAGAGAGTCACAAAATACTCAAATTGCTGTATCCCACTTTTTACAAATACGATTAGAAATAAATAGTGTCTGTGTTTCTGGGGTGTTTAATCCTTTGCACTGGGAGAGCATGAGTAGCTACATATGGCAGTAAATAAAGACTTTTGTCTCAATAACAGAGTAAGTAACTGTGGGCTTAGCTGAATTTTGTGGCACTACACACAGTTGCTGTGCTGAGGAACTGAGGAGAGGTTCACAAAATAGTTTGAGAAAGGAACAGCGAATGCCTTTTCCATTTACTACAGCTCAGCTCTGTACTTAAAATTTCTGATGTTTTGTGGCAATAAAATAAAAATAAGTCAAAGAATCCAATGCATAAATATGAATTTTCATTTTAGCCTTAAAGTAATATGTCATCCTTTATGTTCTAAACCCCATCTAAAGCTTTATCAACCCTTCCTTGTTATTTCATAATTACACTTTTCTTGTTTGGTTTCTACTACTGACACCAGTTTCAGGTGTGGGGTTTTTTTTGTTAAAACAGCATTTTAATTTTACATATGTTTTTATCAGAGTTTTGTGAGGCTCGGCCTTCCCGCACAACAAAAATACTGAGATTTAGAATGATTTAGAAAGTATTACTTTCAAGGTTATGTATATGTGATAATGCATAATACAATACATCCCTTGGAGTGTGCAAATTCACGTTGCACTCACTTTTATTCTGAGTATGGGAATTTTCAGTGTCATGGATTTGCAAGTTTGGGACTTTTTGAGGAGCATATACAGAATGAACAAAATTCACCAAAAATGTTTACTTGTTCATCAAGTTACCCCCTCAGTTTAAATTGAGCTGAATTGCATTTTGGAAGTTGTATGACAAGGGGAGAGAGAAAGCAGCAATGTTTTTTAGCACTCTAATGAACAGAAACTTTATTATTTTACCTATATATGTATTATTATTGTTTTTAATTTATTTGAAGTGTTAAGGACAAGCTAGTCTTGCCTTACCTCCTTTAACAGCCCACTGAAGTGCAGAGTCTGTTAAGTCTTTGTGTTTATGGTGGATATCCTTTGGACCTAGCAGTGTACCAGAATTGGGATGTGAACTATGTTTAACAACTCAGGTGCTTCCTCTCTTTTAAAAAGGTTATGTAAATATAAATAGAGTGCCTGTGCTCTAACAGATGCTTCATTTGTCTTTTTCAGTCCTCTGCAAACTGAACAACATGGCACAAAGCGCCTGGAACCATCTTCTGCTAAAACTTTGCTTGATATAGGCACTCGGAGAATCTTCTCATCAGAGCATGATATCTTCAGGGAGAGTGCCAGGAAGTTCTTTCAGGAAGAAGTGCTGCCTTTTCATGCAGAGTAAGATAATCTCTTAAATGTTTTGTTTTGCCAAATGATATGCATTTTTTCCCCCAAAATGCTTTTTGCAGTGTTACTCTTAATATGGCAAGATAAACAGGTTATTAGTTTTCATTTACAAGCTTTCTATTTCAAATTTACTGCATTAAAACAAACCTGCGAAAATTGTGCATGAAGGAAAATCACACATAACCAAAATCCCCTGCATCCTCTGAGCTCCAGTGCAGACAGTCTGGCATCACCTGCTTAGGCCTATGAGCAGACAAATGCAGTTTGCAGGAGTTGCAGCAAGTATTCCTGCTTTGTAGGATTAACTGGTGACACCAGTGTCTTAGGTGGAGTTAGGAGACAGTTCAGTTCCCATGGGACTGATGTAACTAAAAAAGGCATTCATCTTGTGTCTAGGTTACATTGCAGTAGATTTTGTAACAACATACAAGATCATATAGCATGGTAACGTGAATTATGTATTACCAAGAAACTTGTACAAAACATCTTTGTTTAAATTTCTGTAACTTTTATTTCTGTGGAAATATGGGACAGAGTAGAAGTATTGTAATTCCACTGAACTAGAGCTGGAGGGTGGTTTTAGCCCTTATTTTATCTATATCCAATCAAGTTATAGTTGGGGAAAGAAAAGAAATTAACTGAAAGACATGAACTGAACGTGTTAAGCTTCAAGTAGGTTCTTCAGCAATTTTTACTTTACTTGAAGTGAAAACAGTGCGGGGTAGTGAATTCTGAAATTGCCCTGCTAGATGAGTATCCTGATACAGCTCACAACTGAGTGGGTGGAATATTGTGGCTCTGGGACAGGAATGAGCAGCAGGAGGCAAACGACTTTCAGCAGGATTGGTGGCAGCCAGTTTTTTTATCCTCAGACCACAATCTCATGGTAGTATGCTATGCTCTTCCATTGTGCTGTTATATTCTGTCCACAAAACCAGATGTTTTCCCTCATCTTTTGTTGGACTTGTGGTGCAGATTTGTGAACAGGTACTGGCTCTACTTAAGGTTACTGAAGATCCTATTTACTGTTGTGCTGACACAAGGGTTTCTTAGAGAGGCTGGAACAAGTTGAAATTTTGTTCTTGCATCACTTCGATGACTGATGAACCAATCTGTTCTTACACCTTTCAAGTAAACAAGGAGGCTTCAGGCACAGTATATTAATTGTCTGGGCTGATGTGAAAAGCCAAATGTGGCATCAGTGAATGCAATTGTGAATTACTGTGAGGAAGTGAAGCTTTGGTGCTGGGTGAAGTAGAGACAGGAATGACCCTGAAAGAGAGGGGAGGGGTGAAACAAAGGTGGTCAAGAGAGATTTTTGTAAGATTTCCAGTGTGGGAGCAAAAGCTCTGGAAAGGAGCTTAAATACTAGAAAGCTTAAGTAGTGGAACAGGTTGCCCAGAGAAGCTGTGGACACTCACCCCTAGAAGTGTCCAAGGCCAGGTTGGATGGGGCTCTGAGCAACCTGGTCTAGTAGAAGGTGTCTGTGTCCATGGCAGAGGGTTGGAACAACATGATCTTTAAGGTCTCTTCCAACCCAAACCATTCTGTGATTCTATAGTGCTATTCTATATATAGGATAAGATACTTGGTGAACTGTGGATGAAGAGATGTGGTATAGCTCTGCTGCACTCAGGTGTGTCAGAGGAATGTCTTTGATATAATCTGTCTATCATATAATTTTAAAATTGTGATTTTAAAAAAAAAAGACATTAAAAAAACACTTGGACCATTAATGGCTATTTCTACTGAGTTGGCAAATCCCATAAAGAGGAACTATTTTTCTAAGAATAACGTATTCCTATGGTGTTAAAGTTTGCAAACTGTCATCAGCTAAGCCCCTAAAAGTCTGTCTGTTTACACAGACTTGAAACTACCTTAAAGCAGTAATTTCACAAGATACAGTACTGACTTGTTCTAAGTGCACAGGGACCAATTTTTGTATAAAAGTGGCTAATATAACATTTTGGTTCTGATAAAGCAGTTCTCATTGGTAGAATGGAAATCTTTCACAAAAGATACTGACGTGTCAAACTCATTTTGTACTGGGGAAGATGGAGTGTCGTGAAGATAAAGACCTGCTTGTAATTATCCAGATGGTTGTGACTAAATCTCCTAAATACCAGTCTGGTGTAACAGTCATAACAAGTCTAATGAAATTCCTGTCGGGTTACATGTTGGAAGCAGGAGTTCAAACTTGTTTTACAGGTGATGCCCCTGTAATGCCAGTGGCATCTGTGGACTTGAAGATTAGAAAACCTGTGACTAATCCACTGCTTCTTGGCTGTGAGGCAGTTGTGTGTGTACCCTCACACTGTTGGTGGTGGTGTTCCAGTGTGAAGCAGCAGCCATGGCAAATAAACAGTAGCATGTGGGGGTTTAATGTATGACCTTGTTCTTGTGTTCATTTTGCAGATGGGAGAAGGATGGCCAAGTGAGCAGGGAGCTCTGGGAAAAGGCTGGACAGCAGGGTTTGCTGGGTGTTGCTATTGCTGAAAAACATGGAGGCATCGGAGCGGATATTCTCTCTTCAGCCATTGTCTGGGAGGAGCAGTGAGTACTAGATACTTCAGGAAGTATTTCAGTGATGATATCATCGATGACTGTATTTTTTTTCCATAAGTTGTCCTCATTATGGACTATGTTTGCTTACAGCAAACAGAGTTGTCTTTCTTGTGGAAAGGTTAATTTACACATATGTAAATCCCTCTTGTTTTAAGTATTCTGGATCACTGTTTGAGTAAAAAGTGTCATTGTGCTCCACCGGCTGGGGGAAGTATTTTTTTTAGCCTGGTTCCATTTGGCTGTTAAAGTACACTCTGTATATAATGCTAAAAGTGCCACAAGCTCAGATTGTCTGAGGCTTCTGTGTAGTGGGGTTTTCTTCATTGTTGCATTTATGTTGTAATGATGTAGAGTGCAATGTTTATGTCTTTGCAGTACTTGTTTCTGAACTTCCCCCCGCCTCTTTTTTTGTCCCCAGAATGTATGTGAACTGTACAGGCCCAGGGTTCAGCCTTCATTCAGATATCGTCATGCCCTACATTGCAAACTATGGCTCTGAAGAACAGATCAAACGCTTTATCCCCCAAATGGTTGCAGGCAAGTGCATTGGAGCTATCGCCATGACAGAACCTGGGGCTGGCAGGTAAGCCAAATATTAAAACAGTTGTCTCAAATTATGTGCTCTTCATTGATTTATCAGTGAAAAACATTGTGAGCCTCCTGGTTATATGCTCACCTTAGTGACTAGGCTATCCTACATTAGGTAGGACCTTGAAAAACCTGTTATAGATTACTACAGCTTTGTCATTTCAAGATATTAGCTCAGAGTACATTTCTGTCTCATCCTGCTGTGGGCAAATATGTTTTGTATTTACTTTTGCAACATAAGTTTATAGTTACCAACTTGCTTGTCATGTGAACATACTTTTAATATGAAATATTAAGGAGAAAATTACATGCCTTGGTAAAGAAGGCTTGACTTTACTGTTAGCTTTTGTCATGGAGCAGAGCACCTTATTTTCTTTCCTCTGAATCCTTCCAGAGACGTACTTCTCCTTGCCCATCATTATTGAATGGCAGCCAGCACGTGTTTGGAGTAGTCAGAGCTGGCTAGTTTCCAAAACAGAGAGGGACAGAAGACCAAAACCTGTTGGTGTCATGCTTCTACAAATGGTAGATGTGGCTCATGGCTTTTCACAGAGCCTTCTGATCAGGACTGAGCCTGCTTAGAGGATGTGGTTTTGTCTGGCATTTGTCATTTAAGGCATATTGGCATGAGGGGATGCTGACCCATGCTTGCATTACACCCCCTCCCACAAGCAGAGTTGGGAAAATGGAACCTCATGCTTCTGTGTGATTGCATAGATTTATCATCCTTTTCCACAGCGTGTTTTTGGTTTCTGTGTTACACTGAGCTCTTTCCCTGTGTTTCACTATCCTCATCTGTTTTCACTGAGGCTGTGGCTGGATGATATAAAATCTACCTTATTTTGTACTGGTTAGAATTCAAGATAAAAACTGCAGCTTCCGGAATGGTTTCTTGAAGGACCTTTTGAATTTCGTTTCAGTGACTTGCAGGGAGTACGGACATATGCGAAAAAAGATGGGAGTGACTGGATTCTTAATGGGAGTAAGGTAAGTGCACAGACATACGTGCTGCTCATAGGCTTTGGGAACTGAATGCATCCAATTCAGTGCACCACAGTTAGGATCTGCTCACAGTCCCTGCAGTTTGGGGTTTTTGTGTGGGTTGTGTTGTGGGTGGGTTTTTTTGTCTCAGTTACTTTTTTTATTAATAGGTCTTAAGATGTTTTTGTTACTGGCAGTTTACAGACCAGTTTATGGGAGAGCTTGTTTAGATTATTTTTGTAGCTTTTAAATAACCCTATCAAAAGGCCTGTTTTGTCTTCAATTGTGAATAAAAGGGGAAAAAAAGGTGCTCTATAGTATAAGCAGAACCAGGGCTGGGTTTTAATACTGAGGTTTAACAATAAAATATATACAGTACTACTTGTGAAATCTTCTGTGGCCTGAGTAAATACTTGTTTTGACACAATGCAAGCTTTGGAATCTTTATTCAGGAGCTTGCTGGTCATGTTAGGAGAAAAAAAGAAAACCAGCTGTATCAGATGCTCTGTGTGTGTTGTAAAGCTGTTGCAAAGCATTGACCTCTTCTTTCACTGCCATAGTAAAAAAGCAAGAAGGCAGAAATAGTGTTGAAAATAGGAGTGTGGGTTCAACAGAGCTTTTTTTGAAGCTGTGAAATGTGTTAATCTTCTTATGTACCCCTGCTGGTAGCATAGACTGATGGAGACTTCTGGCCTTAGCAGAATTGCAGCGATGAGAATGTGTGCAAACAAATGCATATGTTCAGGTGCTCAGAAGGTGCTCATGCTGTTCATTTGAAGCCAAGCAGGACAAAAAGCTCATTTCTTTTGCTAGAATTAAGATGGATCCATTTAGCAGGTCCGTGAGTCATTCTGCAGGATTATAGTAAGCAGTTGTGACAGGAAGTCAGTGAATTTTGTGCGTTGTACCTTGCTGATTTAATTTGTAGACAAGAGAATTTCTGTGTTCATTTAGTATCTACATTTGGTACTGTATTCTTCTTTATCATGAGACAGGAAAAGAAACAGATTATGTGCATTCTGTGACTTGACACAATACTTCTCAAACTAATGTCTGCCTTTGTTCCAAAACACTTCATTCAGAAACCTTAAAATTCTGGACTCTTGAACCTTGCCTTTCAGTTCACCTGTGAAAGTGTCAATGTAATTCTGCTTTCTGCTACTTGATGATCTCTCCTAACTTCTCTCCACACAGCTCATGGCTTTAGTCCAGGTTGCCTTTTTTACAGGTATTCATCACTAACGGTTGGATGAGTGATGTCGTGATCGTGGTTGCGGTTACAGACCGGGAGGCCCGATCCCCTGCTCATGGGATCAGCCTTTTTCTGGTGGAGAATGGAACAAAAGGTTTCATCAAAGGACGCAAACTGAACAAAATCGGCCTTAAAGCTCAAGTGAGTTGGTACAACCCCTAACCCCCAACGCAATAGACTTGGAGGAAGCCTAAACCACTTAATGCCGAGCAATAGCTAAATAAATATTAGATGGAACTATGGTTTTATTCTAGTTGTTAGGCTTTAGAGCACAGCCATGCAGAGTATGTGTGCTCATTTTGCCTGTGGAAGTCTGAAATGTGATCTGCAAGGAGAGGCTGAGGAAGCTGGATTTGTTCACTCTGAAGCAGCCTGGAAGGACAGGCTCTAGATATGGTGGAACCATGTTCTCTGTGGTGTATAGTGAAAGGGAGAGCGGCAAATGACATAAGTTACATTAAGGAAAATTTTAAGTAGGTATTAGGAAAAAAATTTCACCATGAAAGTGGTTGGATAGTGGCACAGAGCCCCAGAAAGGTCATGGAGCCTTCATCTTTTGGAGCTTTGGAAAGCATAAATGGACAAGGCCTCAGCTGATTGTTTTTCTGGAGCTGCTTTGAATAGGAGATAAACTAGATGACCTCTGGAGGATCATTCTAGCCTAAACAATTCTATGATTTCACGTTAAAGTGTACAATAACAAGAAAAAATAGGGCAAAAGAAGTGTAATGAAGAGATTACAGTGTCAGAGTATCAACTGTTGTGTTCCAAATCCTCTTAGGACACGGCAGAGCTGTTTTTCGAAGATGTGCGGTTGCCAGCCAGTGCCTTGCTTGGAAAAGAGAACAAAGGCTTCTACTATCTGATGGCAGAGCTCCCTCAGGTAAGAGGAACGTGAGTGCTTGCTGTCTGTGGGAAGAATTCAGAGACAATTTTTGTCACTTAGTCTTGACATTTATGTATTGTGGGGAGTCACCTTGGTCTCTGAAGTGGGGTGTCTGTAGGCAGTGTTGTGTTGATGCTGCTGCTTTTTAGCTGAAGTATGCAGTGCTCAAAGTGCAGTGCTTTGGGCTTTGGTAAAAATGTTGATATCTACTAGGTCAAAGCCATATCTTTCAATCAACAACCCAGCTATTGTAGAACCTGAGGGTAGTGTATTAAAAGGAACATACCACAGCTTTCTTGTGTACTTTTAGCATGGAACCACTTTGCTTAGTAAATTAAATATAGCTTGGAGGTCTCTGATGCATTTGGCATTCTCTTTAAAGAAACAAGCACTGCTGTTCTAGCTCCTCCCCCAGTAGAAGCATATTAAAGATACAAGGAACTCTGTTCATGTAAGAAAATGAAGAAAATTGCTTAGCTACCAAAATATCTTGCTAGTTACAACTTAGTTTATGAAGTTTTGGAACTATTTGGGAGGACGAAGCAATGTGGTTTTTCAAAATGTGACTGTGCTTTTAGTCAAAACTATGGCTTTGTCTCATCTGGTAGAGATCACGTTTATTTAATTATTTATTGTCAGTAAATGAAAAACCTGATCAAAAGAAATATATTACAGCTTTAAAGAAATAGATGCACTCATGAACAGATTCACCGTAATCATCAGATGATTTCATTGGTGCCAGAAGCAGTTGTTGTGCACTTAGTTTTTAGTTTTCACCATGTTATGAGGAAGGAAAAAAAAACCTGTTTCTGTAGGCTTTGTTTTTTTCTAGAGTTGTCCTATTGAAATTGTTAAATATAGTTGTTGTTTAGTTTGAGCTGTGAAAATGAATAAAAGAAGCAGAATTTGATGTGAATTTTTCAGTCGGTGAGAGTCCTGTTGTCGATTTGTAGCTAGCTTTTGTCATCATGATACAGCACTACCCTGTCTAAGACCTAAAAGTGAGCTTTGGGCAGCAAGGCATTCATTGCACTCACTAATTTCAGTAATGCAGTGTTGTCTGGTTGGGTATTTTGTGTGACTTCTGCCTCCCCTCTCTTAATGAACAACACCGAACATCTGTGTCCCAACTGTGCCTCTGATATAGAGAAATGTAGAACTAAGTCAACTGAATCCCATAATTTGTGTTCCAAAAGGAAAGACTTCTAATTGCTGATATGGCTCTTGCTGGCTGTGAATTCATGTTTGAAGAAACAAGAAATTATGTGAGACAAAGAAAAGCTTTTGGGAAGACAATTGCACACTTGCAGGTGAGTTTGAACTGAGAGACTTGTATACAAATTCCAGTGTATCTTTGCTGTACATCTGTGTATGTGAAATAGTGAGCAAATCAAAATCACTGGGCTATTTTGAAAGGATTATTTGCACAGGTTCTGCAGTTGGACTGTGGTGTTGCCTCCATGCCCATCATTCAGTTTTGAAAAGCAAAAAAAAAAAAATCAAAAAAACAGCACCAGAAAAGCCTTAGTGTATGTATTTTATGACAGGGTAAATACCTCCCAGCAGTGCAGCTTTTGGGAGGGAAGTATGCAGTCAAGAACTATACTGGTTCTTCTTTGTTGCTAAGAACAATTCCCATGTTGCTCTTAGGCTTGCATTTTACTGCCAGAGGTCATAATCACAGGGTCCATCACACCTGCTTGTGTTTCTGTGTCTGCCCAGAGACCTGGAGACTGCCTGTGCAGGCAGTGTGTTCCTCTGCATGCAGAGCATTGCAGAAAAAGGACATTAGAGGCTGGTGCTGGCGGGGACTCACAGCAGTGATCTTGCTGCCCAGATGCTGCAGAGGTGCTTGTGTTCAGCTTTATGAGCGTTGTAATGAGATTCCTCAACCAGCAGTGAGTTGGGTGTTTGTGTGACTGTCTGTAAAACTGTTGGATTATACTCTGTGGGCAAACCTCCCTCCTGACAGGGGCAGGTAGCTGTGTTTTGAGACATTTGTGCCTACGCTCTTCAGCTGCAGTCATAAAACAGATACTGCTTTGCGCAGGGTTGCTATATTACAGTCTGCCTGCAAACCACCTCAGCTGTTAGGGCTGAAGCAGACCAAGCTCCTGCGTGTTTGGTTTATAGAGCAGAAGTGACTCATACCAGTTATGGATGTTGGCTGCCTCATTCTTAATATACTTTAGAAATAATTAACAACAACAGCAAAAAAATCCATTTCTGTGTCTTGAGACTTCCTTTGTCAAAATCAAACCTTTATTTATGAAGGGCACCAGAACTGGACCCTTTAGAGGCTGGAACGCTAGGTATCTTTCAGGAGACTGTGATCTTCATCTGTTTCTAAAGCTTACAGTCAGGAATCTATAATTTCAGATGGAATTTAGTATGAGCACCATGCAACTTTAACACAAAAGAAATATATTTTACCTTTTTTAATGTAGGTGAGGGATGATTCTTATTTGTAGCAACTCACTGTGCAGAGATCTCCAAAATAATTTCCTTTTTTTGGGTTAGGCCACTGCCAATCACCTCATAAAGTGTATTATTTTTGCCAAAATAAGACATTTCTGCTTATCTCTTCAGTTTCCTTTTTTTGTTACTGCTGGCTAGAGTGTGCATATAATAAATAATCCTTTCTAATTAGAGCTCTGCCTTGGCTAATTTATTTAGTCATGCTGTGTTACAGTGTTGGAAATCAAATCTTGTCTTTGCAATAGTAGACTTGTCTGGTATATTTGAAGCAAGAAGATCTTTTTTTGTACACAATCCTAGAACTGAGATTAGAAAGAACTTTTGTTATTGGCTGATGTTTTTATCCTCTCCCTACCAGAATTACAAGATGGTCTGATGCTTGCCTGGTCTGTTTTTAATACCCTTATGACGGATTTTTCCTCTGCTATCTAGAAACTCTTTTCCAGTGTGACAGAACTCAGTGCTGAAAAACTTTATGCTGGTCTAAAATTTCTTTTATGTTTTGCTTATGTCTTTTTGCATGTGACTTAAACTCTGAAGAATGCATAGAAAAGCATTAAATAGATGTTGAAATACTATTAGTTGGGGAAATCAGTGGCTCTACAGAGTGAAAAGATGTTCACCTACAAGATGGAACACTCAGAGCCTCCTGCTCTGTACTCCCTAGGAATATGTTTTCCAGGCTCTATGGCTTTTTCTCTTAAAGTCATGTTTGAGTTGACCTTGAGAAGCAAAGGGCAGTAAATTTTCTCTAATAACACTGGTGAAGACATAATTGTATGGAAAGTAAGGTGTCTTCTGGTGTACAGAGCCAAAGTTGTTCAAAATAGTGATTTCCAATCTTTCTGGAAAATGCTTAATTTTCTACTTAAAGTTTTAAACTGTACTACTTCTGCTTTCTTCCCTCTACCCCCTCTATGCAATTCCAAAACCTAGACGATACAGCACAAGTTGGCGGAAATAAAAACGCAAATTTGTGTGGCCCGAGCCTTTATGGACAACTGTTTGGAGCTTCATGCGGATAAACGCCTGGACTCTGCCACAGCTTCTATGGCAAAGTACTGGTATGTAGTTACAGTCCTGTGGAAGTATTACTTGCATGATCTTGCCAGGAGCCTAGTGATAAAACACCGAGCTGTTAAGATCTCATGGAAAGATAAAATTACTGTCTGATTAATAACAACACCGTCAGCTTCTAATAGAGACCGGTAGCTTTAACTTTCATCATGTATTCAGTGAAAATCTTAGTTACACTGAAAACCAGTGCTGGTTAAACAGATTAATTTCAGAATAAAGGCATGCTTTAGAATAGGTTTCTATTAATAATAAGATCAAGGATTCAGCTTTAGCTTCAAGTATATGTGAGTACTCCATAGGTATTTAGACAAAACTTACATTTTACTGTAGCAGATTGTTGTTCTGTGTTTGTTGGGTTTGGCTTTTTGTTTGTTTGTTTTTGGTTGTTTGGTTTGGTTTGGTTTTGGCTTGGTTTTGTTTTTTGTTGTTTTGTTTTTAGTGGAGTCTGAGGCTTGTTTTGCCCTTTTTTTTTTTTTTTTTAAGCAAACTTTGAATATATTTGGAGCTCCATGATACTTTTTAGTCAATGTTACTTAGCAATAGTTGTTTGGTGCAGCCAGTTTCCTAGGCTATCTGGTTTTGGGAAGAAATAGTTGGCTATGGCTCTCTCTGTAACTGAGACTAAACAGTGCTTTCCTTTGTTGTCCAGAACTCCTCCTCGCTCATCCTGTACTTGGTGGTGTTAGCTGTTAACTTACGTTTAACCAGAGAAATCTGGACAAGTGGAAACATCTAAGATAGTGGCACATGAACTTGGATAGTTTTAGTTTGCTTGCAAACTCAAGAGGGGAGAAAAATGCACAAGTAAATAATTTTATGGAAGATGCACAGGTTTACGGATTTTAGGCTTTAAAAAATTGGTATAGTTGAAACAAGCAGAGAATGCTAAAGGGATCCAGAGAGAATATTTACAGTGGAAGAAAGGATTTTGATTGAGTGTTATTCCTGGCACTGATTAGCTAGAAGTATCAAGTACATAAGCAGAGGCATTCAGTTTTGAGGAGGAGGAAACAACTAGTGCCAGCTCAGATATGCAAACTTCATCAACAAATTTCCCAAAACAAGGCATTTAAAACTCGCTCACTTGCCCAAACTGTTTAGCATCATGGTTTTTTGTGGATTTCCCCTTTTGCTAGTGGAGTCCCTGTGACTCCCTTCCATATAACTTCTTAAATGGTCTAGAAAATAATTGAATATAAAATTGCTTTATTCCCTAGTGTGTCAGGAGACCCTGTGCAGTTAATTTGCTTCAAACCTTTTGTATAGTCAGTGATTTGACTTAAAGCTTTGATAGATTTTAAAATGTGGTTTGTGCATCTTTTTTCTTATATCTGGAGAAAGGTCTACAGGGTTGTTTGGGGTTGTATTTTTTTGTGGTGAGAGGTTGTGTAACATGCCTAAATTAATTTGGGAATATATATAGGAAAGACAGTTGCAGTAACTCGCTGCTGCAGATTTAAGGTTAATAAACTGTAAGGATTTCACTGAATTTTCACTTTTGGAGAAAAGGACTCTTACATTCTTCCATGGGAAGCAGTTGACTTGAGTCATCATTTTTGTTCCTTCTGTTGCCACTCTGAAAGCTGTATGCTTAGAAAGTGGGGTTTTTTCATGCCTTGTAACTTTGGAATGAGCTTCCAGTGCAGTTAAAATTTATTTTGCTGTTAAGTCCATATTTTACAGTGAGCAAATCCCAGAAGAATTACAGTGCTTTTCAGAATGGGAGAGTCTAAAATTTATGAGGAAAATAAGTTATGCCCAGGTGATGGTTATGCACAAAGAGCATCCTGGTGTGTTGCTAGTGGGAATGGGCAGGCGGGAAGCCTGATTTGCTGTTAATTTGTGACAAAGCTGAGGGGTTTGGGAAGAAGAGGGACTGTTCAGTGTGCTTCACAAAAGAAATCTCTTGGCCTGTGAGAAAGGTAAACAAGCCTGAATGTTTTGAAACCTTTCCTTCTCTGAAAGCTGTTTAAAAAGAGAACAAATTTTTAATACATTAAATCGAATAGTATTTATTTCTTACTAGTCATGTTTTTGTCTTAACATCTCTCATAATGTTTCGCAGCATAACATCCTTCTAAAAACAAGCTTCTTTTTGTCCATTTAAGGTGTTCTGATCTCCAAAACAGCATAGCTACGCAGTGTGTGCAAATGCACGGAGGATGGGGGTACATGTGGGAGTATCCAATTGCAAAGTAAGTGTAACATTTCAGACTTGCATGATGAAAGATTACCAGCAAAGTGAAATGAGGCACTTCCTTAACATCTCCTTGTCAGTTGTTTAGTGTTAGCTGTGATTTACTGTTCCTTTTCTCATCGTGTTTATTGAAAGGCAATCTACTGTACAGATGTGTGCAAGAAGACTGTTTTGATTCTCCAAATAACTCTTAAGCTGTTAAGCAATTATTATCTATTTTGTCACAAAATAGGGGTGGGTTTTTTTAGAGGAAAAGATTAACTGAAAAAAAAAAGAAAAGCAAAACTGTAAAAATAAAAATGAGAGGAGCTAGTTTGTGTATTTTATCTGAAATTAATGCATATGTCTGAAGAAAAGAACATGTTGATCAGTCTAAGTCTTGTATTATGCCACAGGATATCAAATTGCTGAATCAAGGACATGCCTGGCTACACTCAGCTTTTTTACACCTTTTAAAATGAAAAGCTAAGAGATTTATATGCTGAAAGAAGAATTTGCCGTTCCCAATTTTTTGCCGAGTTTAAGAATTTAGAGACAGGGGGTTTTGCCTGTTTCCTTGTGCATTATCTGTGAAGGTTGTGTGCCATTAGTGCCATTTGCCACACTAAGAGGTTTTGGTGTTGATTTTATTAAAAAAACCCAAAATGACAAATGGGGAAAAAATAGCAAAACAAGGAATGTTGTGCAGTTGTCATAAATAGATAAACTGATTTTTTTAACTAGTAGGTTTAGATTTTTTTTTAAATTCATTAAAGAGTATGAAATATTGCTTTAAAATGACTTGTTCCTGCGTGTTTTCAATGAGTGCAATTTGTGAGTGTTCTGCAGCCTATCTTACTAAAGGAAGGCCGGCAAGCCCTGATCAAGGTGTTCTCGAATCCTTGCTTATCTGTGTGTGCAGTAGTTGCCCATACAGGGTTTTGTTGTCTGCGTGGTCCAGCAGCATGCATTTTTCCAGAGAATGCCTCATTGCTCCTGAGCTGTTCTCTCTATAGTGAAGCAGAATTAGGAGATTTCCTGGTTTGGCTCAGAGCACCTTGCAAAAGTTATAATATTTTAGGTAGTTAAAGCCTCTAGGAAAATATGAACCTCTTTTAACAATGGGAATTGCATACTTTAAAAAGAGGGATCTTCAAAGAGAAAACAACTGTTTTTCTTTTGATCGTATGTCCATTCTGAGGAGGTGTTTTTAATCTTTTCTTGCTTTGTTTTGTTTTTCCCCCCCCACAGAGCTTTTGTGGACGCCCGTGTTCAGCCAATCTATGGTGGTACCAACGAAATAATGAAAGAACTTATTGCTAGAGACATTGTCAGTGACAAGTAGGGCAGATGCTTACTACTTTGGAGAGTCTCATGGAATCCTTTTATATATTAATATATGGCATAAAATCAGGCATCAGAATGTGAAATAAATTTGGTGTATCATATTCTTTAAATGAAGTGACACTTAAAAAAAAAAAGGAACAACTAGTAATACCGGTGTGCTCATATGCAGGATATCTAATATCTTTAAATTTAATATTTTAAACTTTAAATTTAAATATTTTTGGAAATCACAGAGTAGCTTGTGTTTCAAGAGTTCTGGTAGTGAACATTGGGTAGTTTGGTCTTTCTGACTTGAAGCTATTTTATTGAATGCAGCACTCAGTTTTCAGAATCAAATTTCTAGAGAAGTCATATTCTTAACTAATGAAAAAAATTAAATGTTAATATAACTTCGAATTTGTATTTCCCCTTGAGAAGCAGAACTTGAAACTTTCGCTGTTGTTGCTATACACCTGCTCACTGCACAGCAGCTGCCCACTGTGCGGCTGACCCTTATGTTTACATCTAACCCGGAATGCCTTATTTTAATTAGTTTGTTCAAATAAACGTAATAAAGCATTTCTATGCAATCTCATGCTTGTCTGCGTTACTTCAAAGCCCGAGGGGGAACCGGGCTGCTTGCTCGCTGCCCGTGTTCACCTCAGGGTGCTGAGGGGGAATTCGGAGGGAGGGACCGTAATGCCGGTGAACGTGTTTTGCTTTTATTGGCGTAGTAACTCGGAAATATTTAGGAAGGTGTGTTTATGAAGTTTTTCTAGTTATTTACACATGCCGGAGGTTACAGTTGCACCTCCCGCAGCGGGCGCAGCGCAGTCCCCTCAGCTCCCTCACAGCCCCGGTGCGCGCGGCAGGGCGGGCGGCCGAGCGCCATCTCCGCGTCAGGCGGGAGGCCACGCCCCCCGGCGCGCCCGATTGGCCGCGCTCCTCCCCCTGAGGAGCGAGGGACACCCCGCCCCGCCGCGCTGCGCTTTTGCTGGGCGCGGACTCTTCAACATCGCCAGTGCGAGCCGCGCCGGGTGCCGCGCCGAGCGGGCTGGAGGCGGCGGCGGCGGCGCCGCTGTGGAGAGCCTGCCGGGTGCAGAGGCAAGCGCGGGGCTCCGCGGGGCACAGGCGGGCGGGCTGCGGGGCGCGGCGGGGCGCGGCGAGGCGGCGGAGGCGCGGCGAGGCCGGGCGGCGGTTGGTTCCCGCGGCGGGAGTGCCGGGTGCGCATGCGCGGAGTGGGGGCGGGGTGGTAACGGTCCGTGCGCGCGGCGGGGCGGGGTCGGTTGCGCTGAGGCGGGGGCGGGGCCACCCCACGCTCACCACGAGTGTCCCAGCAGGGATTTAAATCCTGGAGCAAAAGTTTGCTCTCGTAATCAGCCTGAACCGACCGACAGAGTTTCTTTTGCCTCAGAGTAACCCTGACCGAGACTTCCCAGACTGCAGACCGCTTACAGAGCTGGAGACTTGGGATAAAGTAGTTACGAAAGCTCGAGGGAGCAGCTCAGATCCAGTTGTGTCCCGCATCCTGCCTTGAGATTTCTTGTGTGATCTTGAGCAAAGTCTTTCCATGCGCTTTTTTGCAAGCTCCCTGCTTCCAAAATTCTGAAGCGTCTCCCAGAAAAAAAAAAGTAGCAGTGACTGAGGTATTCCATACCCCTCACCAGTGGGAAGCAAATTAAAAATGGGAATTTCCAATGGGAGCCAATTAAAAAAGAAATCCAAATGATTAAAGTGTGCTTTTTGTCAAAAGGTAAATTCTTCCTTCTTCTGCTTACTTTAATAAAAAGGAAATAGTAAAAATTAAACCAGATAAAGCCTGGTAGATGTACCAGCTCAGAAAGCAGTCTGTGTGCTTTAGGACTCTCCTGCCTTATTAGTCCTTGTTGTGAAATCCTGGGAAATGTTGTAGGGAGTTTAAATTCCAGTCATCTTAATTAGTGTCTTAAGAGCTGAGTATCTCTTGTTTAAGACCAAATTTTACGGCACTCTCCTCAAAGGCTGAAATTCAAAAGGAGAACAAATGTTGATATGGACTTCATGATGGATTGGAAAATATTGCAGATATTTGTTAGAGACGTATGTACAACCTCCTTACAGAGGCACCTGTTGTAATACAAGAAGTGTTTAACATATGTTAAAAATTACTTCAGATGTTACATTGTACATGGAATAGGAATTACAGTTTACATTGTAAACTGAATAGGAATTAGTTGATGATGTGGTAGTAAACTTGGGAGTTACACCGGATTCTGTTTGGAAACACTGGGAGAAAAACAACCCCGAATCACGGATTTTATCATAAGTGAATTCTGCTGAGTTCTATTGAAGTACATCCTTATTTTGATTTTTTTTTTTTTAATGATTGGAACTAGGTGATCTCTCTTAAATTGGTTTCTACTTGGTGTTCAAAGGGAGATCCTTTTTAGGGGGGTATGTGCATGTGTGTTTTGTTGTGTTGGGTGTTGGCATTTTTAAAGAGGAGGAGTTTGTGCTTATATCTTCTGGAGTGTACAAAATCCAGTTTGTTGGAGTTTGGAGTTTTGTCTGGATAGTTGTGCCTACACAGCGAGCGCTGCTGAAAGTTGAGGCTCCCTGCATAATCCTGTTTGCGTTTATGTTTTTTTTCTATTCTATTAATAGAACAAACTACTAAAATGCTTAAATACCTGTCATGATTAACTGGACTGCTTTTGAACTGAAGACAAAAGCTGCCTACTGAAATGATTTTTTTTTAAAGGCTAGTCCCAGGTGTGTTAAATATGGACTTCTTTCCATTTCCTTTGTTACATCTAATGAGGACATGCCCAGTGGGACCAATATCTCTTTTGTGGTCATTGCTGAAGACTGTTCTATGTGAAAATGCAGACTATGCTACTGAGCTGTTCTGTCTATTCTTAGAAATCACTATGATCCTGTAGGTTTACAGAAAAGTGGGAGCAGTAGTTAAAGCACACCCCGGGGATGCCTCCCACCAGGCAAGGCTTGGAGAAGCTGGGCAGGGTCAGTCCTGCCCACTGCACTTGGCTGAGGCAGTGCCGCAGTAGTGCCTGTTTGCCAGAGCACTTTATTTTTGTCCAGTGATTATCAGGAAGGCTTTCCAAGAGGAGCCAGGGATTACAGGGCAGACAGCACAAAGCTGTAGGAAACCAGGTTTTGTCAGTTGTGTTGAGGGCAGATCAAGCTTGCTTGTGTAGCTGCTGTCTCTTCTGCAGGTTGTTTCTAAGAGGCCTTAAAGCCTCTTAAAAAATTGAAAATTGAAATAGAGTATTTTTGAGCATTTTTGCTGGGCTTAATTTTCTGGTGCTTCACCAGATGCTGTCTGCTGACAGGGTCTTCTTTTTGCTTTTGGAATGCCTTCTAGACAAGGAAAAAACAGTGGAAGTTTGCTTATGTGAAACACTGTTAATCTGTAAGTAAACTGGAAATAGCCATATTAATTTGAAGTGTTATTTGTAGGCCCCTGAATTTCAAAGCAGAAAGAAATAAGAAATATAAAAATCTTACCCTAGACTCCAGAAATCTCATTACTATCAAGAAAGTTTTAGGTGTTTGGGATGAGGAAAAATGACTCAGTTTACAAGGAGTGAAGGCTGGTACAGAGAAGCCTTATAAAGGCCCATGCAAGGGGAGTTCTACTGTCATCGGAAACGAAAAGATCACAAACAAAAAATCCACTAGAAGACAAAGCAACCCTCTCCCTAAGCAAAAATCCCCCAGAACATTGTCTGCAGTGTTGTGTAACCAAAGTGATAGTGTTATGCAAGGGGGGGAAGAGTCAAAAAGTGAAAGGACCATAAACAAAAGCTGGGAAGGGAGGGAATGCCACCCTGCGTGCTGGCAGGTTTGTGGGTGGTTTTGTTGTGGTTTTTTTTAATAGGGAGCTGCTAATCACCAACACGAACATACTAGTTTCAGGATTTAGGCAAATTCCGGTGAGGTAAGCCTGGTAGGGAAGGGTATAAGGCAGAAATGAGGACTAAGAAATCAGCAAAGGTAGCAGGGGGAGAGGAGAGAGAGAGAGTAGGAGTCACTGAGGGATCAGGGACCTGTAGGTGTGGTGAGAGACGGGACCAGGGTGCCGGGTCAGGCTGTGATAAACTGCAATTCCCAGCTATATCCTCCTGGGTAATTAAGGCATTAAGGGAGGATAAGCATAAAGTCACTTTAAACATCGGTTACTGTACTCTGCATGTCTGGTACTTGTTTCTTCCCTTCCCTGGTACTTACTTAATGTCAGCTTTTCTTTCTGCAGTACTTTTTAGTCTTTTAAGTGGAGTGTGTATTCAGCAGATGAAAGGCAAACTGTTTGCCAGTTCAGTAGCATTTCAGCTGTTCTGGTTTTGAAACCTCAAGTAGTACACAATGGAAAAAGTTCCTGAAATGGTTTACCTATGACAAAAAAGCTTTTCCCAGAATGCAAATACAGCCTCTTCCAGAATACCATTTTGCAGTACTTGTCTTCCCTCCCTTTTTGCTTTTATTTCTATTCCCCCCCAAAGATAGTAGGTTTGGCTCTGGAAACTCCCAATAAGGGTGGAGCAAAATTATTTTTGCAGCTTTCGGCCAAAATGAAGTAAAATATGTCAAAATGAAAATTGTACAATTCGTGTCGAGCCAAGTACTTGTACTAAAATTTGTTTATAATTTTTTTGCAGCTGATTCTTTGTTTTGCTCATATGCCAATGACTTTTTGTGTGTGTGTATAAACTTCTTGGGGAAATAGCAAGAACGGGAGACTGGGACAGCTTTTGTGTAGTCTTAGTCTGTAGTCTGAAATTAACACACCTGAATGTCTCACATGACTGTCCTCAGGGCAGAAACATTTTGTGAGACTTTAAAGTTGCTGGGCAAGGGCTTAATTGAGTGATTTCCCTTTTCAAAAGCATTTTATTTATTTTTTAGTTGTAGTGTAATTTAAGCATCTTCTGTCAGGGACTCCTAATTAGTTAGTGTTTTGTCAGAGCTCTTTAGTTTGCTGTTTGTGCTTCCCTTTGACAGTACTTTGATTTATTCCCCTCTTTCCCCTGAAAGAGTGGGAAAGAAGTCCCCAGACTAAACAAAAAACAAAGAAAAAAATTGCTAATGGTATGTATTGCAGTTTTGGAAATTTGAAACTGTACCAGAAGGGTATGTGGTATTTGAGGGAATATGATCAAGTTAAAACACAATACTGTGTAATTTTTGTGCTGCCAGTTTTTTGAATAGGCTCTCCATCTTCATACAGGTATGTGATCCACATCTCCAAACTTCTTGTTTACTTGAGCAGCAGCTCTGCTGAGTGTAAATGTTTTCTGGTTTTCAGGAGTAGCAGCCTTTGCATGTTATTCGTTTCAGACTAAGGGAGGTAGATGGTAAACTTGGAACAGTTATAAACTCATTGCTCTGTGCATGTAGATACCAGGCTGATGTTCTTCTGGAAGAGGTTCTTGGCATTCCCAGGGACAAATCAAACACAGGGACTCCTGAGTTCAGAGTAAGCCCACAGAGGAACTGTGGGCTTCAGTTCATCCCCCTTATGTTTTAGCTGTGCTAAATTGCTCTGACTTACTACAGTTATTTGCCATATGCTGAGGGCAGGCAGGCACACGTGTCTGAATCCATACTCCTGGATTTAGAAATTCTTGGGCCTGCTGGCTCTTACAAGAATGGAAAGACACAAAACCATGAGTCAGCCAGATGCTGAGAGCATTATCGAGTCACCAGAGCCTTTAGGATTTGGGGTTCCAGCACTCATCAGTGCATTTCCTGATCATAGAATGGGGTTCTTCCTGAACAGCTGTCCACCGCGAGGACTTTGTTCTGGTTCCTTGGTAGGCTGAAGTTACTGACTTATTGATAAAGGTTAAAATCCTGGGGATTTTAGTAGTATCATTTAGGATTAGCAGTAGGACCACCAAACCTGGTCCCAGTGATTCTGGGTAGGTGATGTACAGAGAATGAGAACCTCATGGTTGAAGTACGTGTGGAGGAATGAAAGGTGAATACAGCATACCAAGAGAGGTAAGGCAGTACTGGAACATGCGGCTCTCCGTTTTGCTTTATGTTTTGAGGGTTAAGGAGCAAATATCCAGACTGGTACTTCTCAGCTCCTTGGGTTTCTATATCTCCCTTTAATGTTTGCACCTTTCTTGATAGTTTAAAAAACACGTAGTTATAAACAAGATAAGGCTTCAGACAGGGCATTTGTTTTTCTGAAAGTCCACATGTGGAAGTCTTGGAATCATTCACCCCTTATGGGATCTGTGCATTAAAAATTGCTGAGCTAGGCAGTTGATGTGGAGATCAGAGAAACTGGAGACATTAAAAGGGGTGCAGTGGAAGTGCTGCACAAGCAGTACACTGGTTAAACAGAGAATTTACTGTGGCATTACTGTGCTACGCTCATGTTTGCTACTGCTCTCTTATTGTTCTTGGTTTTGTCTCTAGCTTCTTAACAAAGACCTGACAGTAACTTATCTTTCAGTTTTCTACAGGCCATGTTCAATTAAATCATTCATTGGGTTTCTTTAACCATCTCCTAAACAAAGCTGTAAGTACAGTGTAAAGCAGTGATTCCTGCTGTGTAGGCTGTGGAATAGAGACAGTATGACTTGGCAGCATTGCTGCTGGCAAGAAGGGGTGAAGGTTGACACGAGTCTTTTGATCTCAAAGTCTGGGAACCTTTCATTTAGTGGCAAACCACAGGCAAAAGGACTTGTAAAGAAAAAATGTCTTTTCTCAAATTGTTATGAAAAATATTTTGTTTGTTTTGCACAGACAGTGCCTGATGAATAAAGAACTGGAGAAAAAAGGCATGGGAAAGATTTTTTGAAAATTTTTTTTTTTTTTAGAAAACATTTAAAACTTTAAAAGTTTTGTGTTTTGAAAGCATTAACCTTGATGATTGGTTTCTAATGTGTATTTGTGAGAATATATAATAATTAATCCAATGCTTGCTTTATATAGATTTACAGTAAATATGTTTCTCCCAGTAGTGCCAGTCATGTTGTTCGTGGTCGTGTTTTTCAGTTTGGGCAAGGTGAGATGACAGTCCTGAACTTTTGAGTCTTATTTCTCAGACTGATAGGATCAGAAATGAAATGAGGTATGAACAGTTACTCCCCTGAGAGGTAAAAGCTTTCATTGCACGTGAAACAACCTCTGAATGAAATAAAAAGAGAGTGTTCTTGTTTGACTTGGGAGGGAGTATAGTCTGTGTTCTTTAGATAATATCCTTGTTTATGGAATCTGTGAATAATGATGAAATGTTGAAAGAATGGAACATCTAAAAGTGTTGTTGTATTTGTACTGTGTCATGAAAATGAGAAAATTTACATGGCCCATGTTATTTTCAGGTTTGCTGTAAACTACCTACTGTAGCTATAATGACACCAGCCCTCAGAGAGGCAGCAACAAAAGATCATGGTATCCACTTGTCACCTTCTTTGTCCTCTAGAGCTATGGAGTCTGATACAGCTTTGTGCATGGAAAATTCCAGAGCAGTGGAAGAGAAGATAAAAGAGGACTCCATCGCACAGATTACTTGCTCAGTCCTGGGGTTCCCCACTGCTGAGCCCAACCTCAGGAATGATATCTTCAGTGTACAGCATTTTGGTTCCCCACCAGCCTCCAAGCGCTACCAGTCTATCTTGTTAATGAGTACAAATTCTGCATTTAGCAACAAAACTGGTAAGCAAATGAAAGCAGGAGAGCCCGGCTGCTCCAAGATGAGAAGGTCATTACATAATGGTGGTGACACATCATTTGGTCAGATTAGTCACTCAGAACCTGAGCAACAGGTCAAAGGGGCGATGTTTTCAGAGGCCGCATCTCCAAACTTAGCAGGAACGCAGAGACTCTCAAATTCAAATGTAACTGAATCCAGTAATGCAGAAGAAATGCAACTTTTAAATGGTAAATGGTACAAGAAGAATGGGTTTTTGGGTAGGGCTTTGGAAGTCTGTGCTGAAACAATAAAAGGGGATTTATTTTACCAAATTCTTCACGGGCCTTCTGAAGGGATGTTGAGCTGCACCCAGGAGGAGGTGTATGCTCGTTTACTCCAGTGTGTCACTAAGCAACAAATGGAAATCAGTCGCGCCAAAAGAACTCAGAAGCGTTTACAAATGCTCCTGGCAAAGCATGTTATCAAACACTGTGATCAGCAGCTGAAATGCTTCGTGAAACATCAGCTTCAGAGGATGAAGTTCTTCCATGAGCCAACCAGATTTTTGAGCAGTAGCTCCCTCAGGTGCACTGAAAGTTGGCCAGAAAACAATGCGACTACTTTGGAGAGTATTTTGAGTGCGGACGTACAGAACGGAATTAGCGTTGCACCAGGTGAACTCCGGGGGTTTGCACTTTCTACCGGAGGGCTGCTGTCTCGCGTGGAGAAGGACCTGGACTCTGATGCAACATGTAGCAGTTCAGATGAAGATGGTGAGGAACAGACTGTAAGAACAACCATGGAAGCGTAAGTGTTAAATTCCTACTTAGACTCGTGCTTCTTGCTCATAAATCAGGATGGAAGGGTCTAGATCAGCACATTCCTTTTTGTATGATAGTGCTACTGAAATCAGCAGGACTGATGGTGGCAGCTAGGTTTGACAGGGAGGGAAAGTAAGACCTTCTAATTAAAGCATTTAAGGAGCAGTTGTTTACTATATTATGGAGAGCTAGTTTTGTCCTGCACCCTATCAGTTTGCGTTAAATTAATAGTGCTAATAATTCAGTACTCGAATAGTGCTTAAATCAAATAGTGATAGCAGTGCTGTAAATGATAATTTTTGGTCAGTTTGAAAATAACTTTAATTTTTTTCTGAAGTTATTAAGAATTAGTTAGTGTTAGGATCTTGAAATCCACTATGATGTTATAATGAGTAAAAATTGTCATCTGACGCAGATGTCAAGCCATCCAGTATTAGGGAGTTGTATATTGAAAAAGTTCAGTTCTTTTAAATTATAATTTTCAAAATGTTAATTTACTTGCTGAAGTTGCTCTGCAGTTAGGAATGTAGCTAGCAATAGTGTTCTTATTGTTGGAACCAGAGGGAAATGAATATTAACTAATACTGTCTTGAATTGGCAGGAATCCTGTCAGTACAAATTATTTTAGCTTTGGAAATCAGTAGTGGGTAGGAGAAGGAGATAATAAAATTGTTCTCTGATGATAGTACAACCCTTTTCTTTTTATTGTTTTACTTCTACCTTGCTACATGATTAACACAGTCTCTTCAGTCAAGAAATTTTAGAAAGCAGTGAAAGGACAGCTGCTTTCCCCTTCCTGGAGCTGGAGAGACAGAGCATATCTTAAGGATTGTTGGTCTGTGATAGGACAGTGACAGAATAGACCTTCATGCAAACACAGCAGCTCAGTAGGAGCTTCATGGCACCCACATTTCTAGAACTGATAGTCAGGACTGCCTTTGTGCTTACTGATCTCATACTCTACTGTTTGGGAGTGTCTAGGAGAAAAAAAAGTAAATAAAAATACTTTAGAAGACTTATTTCTTAGTCTGCTTCTTGAAAAGCATAATGTTGAGAAGAAATCAAGGGAAGTTTCTGAAATTGGAAAAGAGCCCATTACATGTGCCCTGGTGATATGTTTATAGGTTTAGTCTAGCATGGCTGTATCAAATCACTGCTGTTCTGTTAAATCACAGAGTTTGTTTAGACTCTGTAGGCCTGAAAAACAGGAGAAAAGTTTCATTTCCTTTTACATGTTGTCAGAATGGTGAAGAAGAACAAAAGCAAAATGGCTCTCCAGCTAAGTTAGGATCACCCTAAATATTTGAGTTTGCAAAAGAATGATTATCCTTTTGAAATATTTTAATGAAAAAAAAAAAAAAACCCAACTCATTTGGGTTCTTCCCAGTGGAGGAGAATCCACATTCTTAACTGTTTGAACGTTATTGAGTAATAGCTCTGCCTGTGAGATTCTTATCTTTCAGCTATATGAACTGAAAAAGAAAAATCGTTGAGAAACTCTTGATTTTTGAAGGGTAGTGGATGATATAAAACTTGGACAAAAGTTTTGTACGAGGGTTTTCTTTTTTCCTTCCTGCCAGGGACAGTTGAGTTTCTAACTCTACCTACCAGTCCTTTACCTTTATTTTTTCTTGTGGCTTTTTGAATTCCTTAAGTTATCTTTCCACTTAAGGATTATTCACTTTGCTTTGTTGCACTGATGAAAAAAATCCACAGAGGATTATTAAGTGCAAAACCACCTCCTTTGGCTCAGGAAATCCCCAGGCTGCTGTTGCTGGCAGCCAAGGGAGTGTTCTGGAGAAGCACTGCTCCCTCCATGCCTTCCCTGTTGTAACATTCTTATCTTGGCCGCTACTAAGAGGCAGGAGAACCGGGTAGATGGTCTGTAGTCTGACTCAGCGTGGCCCTTTATTTGTGGGTTGTTTATTTTCCTCTTTTTAAAATGTTCTTACAGTTGAGCAGCAGTGACGAGGTTAGTGATGTGCCTTAGCTAAGGCCTTGCTGCATTGACAGGGCAAGAATCCCCCGTGTTTGAGCTGTGCTGCTGGGGCAGCTGGCTCAGACTTAAAGTACTGTTTGTTTTAAGCAGAGGATTTGTCTGTGTGCATAGGCTGAGGCACTGCTTGAATTAACATGGCAGTGAGGGCAGGCTTTTTCCTATTTGGATGTATCATCTTCAGATTGGAATGTTTTTCTTCGTTTCTCCAGCCTTCCTGAGATTCGCCTTTGTGACTAAAAGGCTGCGTTTTTCTTCTAGGTGACGAAGGTAAATCGGTTATTTACCAGTGCAGCTGGTGAGATCAGCTGTTTCCTGAGCTTTGCCACTTTAAGACCTTTTGGATTGCCTTTCACCTGGACAAAAGAAACAAAGCTAAAATCCATTTTTATTTCTGTTTGTTAAGTAGATTTACATTCTTCAAAATGCCTTTCTCTCCTTGGGACTTAACTCTAACTGTTTCCCAAAAACAGTGTGACCGTGTGGGTTGGAGAATACTTATTTCCTCATCTGTGACTTTTTCATAGTGAAGACTTTTACACTGAATTTGTCTGTGATATTCTTCCTAATATGTAACTGTTGATACTATAATGTTCTAGTAGTGCAGTGATGAATGGGAAGAATGTTTTGGGTTTGCCCGTATCACAGTGTACTGTCTGCATTAGACTTGAGGATATAATCATGCTGGTGATTGGTTTTTCTCATGACCGGGGTGCTTTTTATCCTTTTTCGGGTGGGCAGGAGGTGTCAATCCAATGTGCAAAGTGGGGAGGAACCTGCAGTTACCCTAATTTTACCTGAGAACAGTGTATTTCCGATCAAGAGGGAGAAGTTAATTCTGGCATCAATTCCTCACACTAGGAAAAAAACCTGGAGCTATTTTTAGCACTTTGAACCTGTTTGTTCTCATTATCCTGAAAAGCGTTTTGCCCAATGAGTGTTGACATAAGCTCTTCTGAGCTGTATCTCAATGCTTTGTTGCTCAGGTAAGATTGTGTTCATCTATCTATTTCAATACCTTTGTTGTTTAGTTCCAAATAACTGTTACTAGATATTTAGACCATTATTCCTCCCTTACATAGGTTCTGTCCTCAAGACAAGAAAGATCCTTGGTCTGCTGGTGATGGCAATTTTTCCAGTTGATAACTCACAGTACTTACTGAACTTCCTCAGTGCCTGAAGGAAAGCCTCATCCCATTTCACAAGCTTAATGAAAACATATTTTGTTCTTTGTGTGTTTGCTAAAGAGAAATATGAAAAAACAATTCAGTGTCTTCAGGACTTTTGTTATTTTGCTGCTACTGTCAGCTCATGGAATGTCTTTAACCTGTCAGTTTTCATGAAAGATTTCTTTGGCAAAGCACCAACTTTCCATCAGTAATTTGTAGTGTATTTTAGTACCATTCCATCCTTTGGGCATAGGAAATTCCCAAGACAGGCTGTGGGGGCTGTGGTAGTCCTTCTGTCTGGCTTCTCAAAGGCTCAGCACTGCTCACTGGCTCCCTGTTAGGTGTTAGCACTTGAGGCAGGCGGAGGGCCAAGGAGGGCATCATGAAGCTGACTATGAGTAATTCTTTAGGAATTCACAACTAACAGTTGAAATCCAACACAGACAGCATTTCACCAGCTGAGTTTACTTGAAACTTACTGATCTCTGTGGTTCATAAAGAAAAGATTATCCATAGAAATGGTCACAAATTTTAAACAAGGTGAACTGGGGGAGGATGTGAACTTGGATGTTTTTCAGCAACACAGCTCTGCTCTAGGAGCTGTCTATTGTATCTGGCCAGGCCAACTTCACACCCTTATTGGTCTGTTTTGTGTGTGTTCCTGATGTGGTTAGAAGTACAATGTACCACAAAGAACTCTGCTGCTCAGGTGGTTATTTTGGAAACCTTTAAAGTTGCAGAGTGCAGAGTTTTTCTTCTGTATACGCTAACATGTGTGATCTTCCAGAATCAAAAGATGTATCAGTGGGGTTCTTTGCAAGGCACAGCTGCTCACTCCATGTAACACATGCACCTAATTGATTAGAAGGAAAAGCTGCTTACAATAGATTTTTCTGCAAATTAAGTAGCTCTTTCTACTCATGAAAAGTCCTGTGTCCTGTTTCCCCAGTCTTCCTTCCCCCATCCGAATACAATCCTTTTGCATCATTTGGTGGGATTTTTTTCCTCTGAAATGTTTTCATGCTTTTCCTCTGATTTCTGAACATGTTTTACTGATTATTCTCCAGCAACCTCAAGCCTGACGAAGACATGCTGTTATATTTTTCCATGCCCACAGGGTTTATTGTGCCTGGAAACTTTTATAATGAATGTGAAGAGATTGTAAATCTTTTTTTTTTTTTTCTCTCTTAGATTGCTAGTTGGGAAGAGAGAAGATGGAAAATCTGCTTTTAGTACAAAGATTTGGTGGGGAAGGGAGCAATAAAGCTGGGAGAATCCAGGAAGGAAGAAAATGACTAGTATCTCCAGACCTAATCTGTTTGTTCTAGATTATTTTCCGTTTTTCCTAGCATTTTTTCTCACAGTCAGTTGAGCAATATCAATGCAGTTCTTCAGGCCTCACTATAGACAGCACTGCTGGGGTTTATTGCAGGTCTTCGAGCCATGTTTCAAGGGGAGCCTGTTTGTTTTGCAAGGTCAGGTCCGAATTTTCCACTCTGAGCTGCAATTTCACTTTGTACATGATATGAGAACTGAATTCTTGGTTTGGGAAGGGGAGGAAGGGAATCTGCCAGGGCTAAATACTTAACCACTAACCCCTGACTGTTTCCAGTTTTTAAAGCTTATTTAGTTTACAAGTCCAGGAAATGTCTTATTTGCATAGGAAATTAATGTGAGGGCTTTTGAATAAGTATAAATTCATAGGTGCTAATAATATGCTGATTTCAAAATGGTTTATATGTTACTTTTTCCAGAATTGCATTCTCTCAATTCTTGGCCTCTATCACTAGGATGTGGGAGGAGGATTGTTATCAGGGAATG